AGGACACTGCTGTCACTAGCACAACAACAGTGGCCTTAAAGCAGACACAGACAGCTCCTGAACTTGCACAGACCTCTAACACAGTTGACCGCAACACGGAAATGCCAGCTCATATTTCACAGGAAACAACAGCCAACTTGCACAGCACAGCAGAAAATTCCGCTGATGTCACATTTATCACTAATATCCAAAATACCACGGAAACAACTGAAAACTCAGAGGATTATGCATCGCTGGCAGATCAAATTAAGGCTGTGATTCTACAGAAAGCAATGGATTTGTTAAACATCCCAGAAAATAGCACAACAACAGTGGCCTTAGAGGAGACAGAAACAGCTCCTGAACTTGCACAGACCTCTAACACAGGTGACCGCATCATGGGAAATCTAATCTGTGTGCCAGTTGTTATTTTACAGAAAGCAACAGTCAACGTGAACAGCACAGCAGAAAATTCCGCTGGTGCCACACTTATCACTAATATCCAAAATACCATGGAAACACCTGAAAACTCAGAGGATAATGCATCGCTGGCAGATCACATTAAGGCTGTGATTCTACAGAAAACAAGGGATTTGATCAACATCACAGAAAACATCACAACAACAGTGGCCTCAAAGGAGACACAGACAGCTCCTGAACAACAGAAAACAACAGTCAACGTGAACAACACAGCAGAAAATGTTGCCACAAATATCATTGATACATCTGACGAGCCCAGAACTCCAATAGACAAGAAAAACCGTGACACCACGCAGGCTGTAGATAAAGCAGGAACCTCTTTGGAAAATGATGTAACCCCAAAGAAATCCTCGGCTCAACATGAAGCCAGCATGCAAAATCAATTCAAAAAACACCCTTTGGTAGCAAAGGATGAATTGTCTCAAAACAAAGAAAAATACCGATTTTTTGTGGAAACATGTATGGAAGAACTAGTTAAGCGGGTTATAAAAAAATCAGGTAAAGTCATAAGTCCAGAAAGAGTTTTAACCATCTACAAGAGGCTTAGCGAAAAAATCTGGGCTAAAATCAGGGATGAAATTGATCAAATCCCCTTAAGGAAGTTCAAAAACTTTGAGAAGGTGATTTTCAAAGCCCTGTGTAAACAGTGGCAAGAGGCAGAAGTAGTTCTGCAAAACATGGAATTAAATGAACCAACAGTCGACAATACGATTGTTAAAATTTTCATAGAAGAGGCAGCCAAACTTTCGAAGAAGCCAAGTTGCATACGTCGGTTTTTCTCATCTATAGGCCGACTGTTTTGTTTCACCAGGAGACAAAACAAGGTTGATGCATTGTAGAAAAAAATTGTGATAACCCCTTGGAACGGTCGCGGCAGATGGCTGTCCCCTCACTGAGCCTGGTTCTGCCGGAAGTTTCTCCCTCTTAAAAGGGAGTTTTTCTTCCCCACTGTCGCCAAGTGCTTGCTCAGAGGGGTTTTTCTGTTGGGGTTTTCTTTTTAATAACTTTTAAAAAAGTTAACATCAATAAAAGTTATTAAATTTTACACTGATTTCTGTTTGTTTTTTTATTGTCTGTAAGTTGAATAAATACATTTGTTATTTCTTGCTCAGTTCAAACTGTGGGTAGAAAATGCTGTGCTGTCATGTGACCTGTACACACACACACACACACACACACACACACACACACAGAGCAGCTAGACGAGGTAAAAACATTCCTGACTTTGTCTGTGATTTTTGGACAGCTGCAGCAAACAGCAGCGCTGTGTCTGATCAGACCACCTCAGTCGAGTTCAACACAAGTCCAGATCTGGAGTCGAGTATGAAGACCGAGTGCCAGCAAAGTCAGGAGGCTGGAACACACGTTTACAGGCTTTTCATTTCAGATGTGTTACGCCCCAGTCTAGGGGTACAGGAACGTAGCATAAGGGTTAAAAAGGAAGTGACGGTTTGGGAAGAAAAAACAATTTATTAAGTGAACGGTGGTTTATTTGTCTCCATTGAAAACTTAACTCCCTGGTGAACACAGGCCAAAATAACAAACAAAAACAAGCTAAGTCAGGAGAGGAGGTGCTATCTAAAACCCTATGTGTGGGAGAAACATTTCGTCACTCATCCAAGTGACTTCTTGAAGAAATAATTCAACTCAAGGTCGGAGCTAGTTCACAGTAAGATCTTTCCTTCCATCTCTTTCAACATCTTGCAAAGTGTTGCAAACAGAAACACTTGTGTGCAACTCCATATCACAGTAGTGAGCAGAGCAGTGCTAGGCAGCTGATGTATATTTAATTGTAAATGTGTTAATAATTTCATTTTTAAATGCTTTCCTGTGGTTCTTTTCACTTTGGCTTGAAATAAAATGTCTCCCTCTGCTGTAACCACAGCTTACTGCAATTTTTGCATGCATGTATATTTCACACTTTGAAAGAGGCAAAGCATGAAATGGTCACAGTGGGCTGGCTTGTCTATAACACGCTTTACCGTGGTTGATGTGTGAGATAACACTCAAGTCATGGTAAGCTGCACTTACAGCTATTGTAAGTGGAACAATGAGTTATTGAGTATTGATATGTATCTATACATTATTAGAATTTTTTCTAATAGAAAAAGGTTTTCTATACATGGATATTTCTGCTGTTTATTTATGGGCTTAAATCCTTCCAAAATGTGGGCCTTTTTATTCTATGACATAACCAAAAAACTAAATAAACTAACTCCTTCAGCTGATGCAGAGGTAATCCAAAAGACTCTGACTGTGGTGAATTAGTGGATCCTGACAGTCGTCTGCACCACCTACTGGACATGTAGCCGAACAGTTTCTTTAACATCTGCCACTTCATACGGTAATACCCTGTGTTGGTCAAGTTACTTGAAAATAGTAATTATTTACTAATTACTGATTACTTCTCCAAGAAATTAATCCCATTACTTTACTGATTGCTTATTTTTGTAAGTAATTTGTTACTTTCTTACTTAGTTACTTTTAAAAAATATGATACACAACCTGAATACGTTATGAAGCATTAGACCTTTCAGCCCAATTCTATTTTTTCTGCATATTTCATGATATAAAATTGAATCAACTGAAAAAAAAAATTCAAAACTAGTTTCATTAGTTTTAACCTTTTAATTTTATGCACGTTGCAACAAGCAAAAAATAAAATTATATGCAGCATTCGCTGACTGGAAGAAATTTGTTGATTCTGTAGATTCTGTAGATTGCTTAGATTGCTTAGCTAGTATTCAGTAAATCAAACTTGTATCAATCAGGAACATGACTGGAGCACCTGGGTATCAAAGCTCAAAGCAAGAGTGAATAGCAGAATGTGCTGTTTGGTATTGTATTAGAAAATCTGGCAAGTTTTTAATGGGCGTAACCCACATACTCAACTCTACTGGATCGCGGATCACGGGGGCAGCAGCCCAAGCAAAGAAGCCCAGACCTCCCTCTCCCCACCCACCTCCTTCAGCTTGTTTGGGGGAACACCAAGGCACGGGGGCCTCCTCTCAGTGGGACATGCCCGGATCACCTCACCCCAGGAGGTGTTCTTCTCAGATGCCCGAACCACCTCAAGTGGCTTCTTTCCATGTGGAAAGAAGCCACTTGGCCTCCCCTCTAAGGGAGAGGCCATCCACGCGTCTGAGGAAGCTCATATTAGCCATTTGTATCTGCAGTCTTATTCTTTCAGTCACTACCCACAGCTCGTGACCACAGGTGAGGGTAGGGACGTAGATTGACCAGTAAATTGAGAGCACCAATCTGTCTGTCGATCTCCTGCTCCCTTCTCCCATCACTCGTGAACAAGACCCTGAGATACTTAAACTCTTCCACTTGGAGGAGGAACTCATCCCTGACCTGGAGTGGGCACTCCACCCTTCTCCTCTGATCTCTTAGCGTAAACTAAGATTTACAAACGTGTACAGGTATTTGTGTGTAACAAAAGCAGTCTGACCACACTCTGTGTTACAATTTGATAATTTTCTTTTTCAAAAAGCTTAGAGTGTCTAAAAATGTCTAAAAAAAATTGTGGAATTATTTTCACTCACTTACAGAACTTGCATGACCAAGCATGAAACAAGTAAATTTACTAAAGTAAATTTTACACAACAGTGTACTTGAGCATAATCCATAATGGGCTTTTTGTGAAAGTAGTTTGCAAAAAGCAAGCAGTGTCACTTTATGTGCCCTTATTTTTTGTTTTAAATCTTTTAGCGTTTCACTGCAACAAGAACACTATGAATTAAAGGGTTTTTCCACCCTGTCTTGCACTCGGTGTGGGAGAAGTTTCAGACATGACTGCATGATCACAAGACTTTTCTGGATGTTTGTCATAATCTCTCACTCGCATATCACACAACTTCATAATGTTATGAAAAAAGTTTAAATTACATATACTTTAGTACATACTGTCACCTGTAAAAGTATGTCTCCTTGAATCTGCAGGTGTACTGAGATCAACAGGTTTTTGAGGCCTACAAACTGTGTGGCAGGGCAGCATCCCCAAACAAGATATGATCATTATGATGGAGATGTTCTGGACCTCAGGGAAATTATAAAACAAAATGTACTCAGGTGAGGATCAGTACTATGTAATCAGTATCACATCCTATATATCATTCTGTTAATTTAAAAAAAATGACTACATTTGGTATGTGATGTAAACATGGCATTGTTATAGACAAGGCTCACCAGTAGTGCTGGTGAACGGAGCTTTAGCTCTGGAAGATGTTGCTCCCACTGGCTTTGCTTTTTGGCAACAAGGTTCATCGCTAAGGTCTAATCATGCTGGGACAGTGCACAGGATGACAGTGTGCAAAAAAACATGCACTCATCCAAAGTGATGGACATGTATGAATCAGTAGTAGTTGTTGCTACATGTTGTTGACATGTATTTATAGACAATGGAGAAATATCCTTAGAGATGTTTGGCCTATGTGAAAACCAGCTGATAAAAATGAAGCCTTTCTTTTAACATTGCGCAGTGAGGACCACTGGTGTGCATCACACAGCAGCTGAATAGATAAAAATGTGAGACCATGTATCAGTGCACAAAGATTTTTTATTATTTTGACATTTGTGTAGGAAATGCAAGCAAAAACTTTAAAAGAAACTTGAGTAGAGCTTTGTAAGCATAAAAACATTAAGAATATACACATCATCTGATATACAGCAGGCCTGTTTTGTTCACTAACATTCACATCCATCCTGTACACTAAAAGCTAGTGTTTTTATTTTGACCATACATGTTTTCTTAACATGAGACACAGCAGGTAACAATAAACAGGTGCATAGCTCACCTTGGCACACAGACAGAAAATTAAAAAATATATATTCAAATATTAAATACAGAATGTTGGAGTTGTCTGCTGCTGGGAATTGTATATAGATGAGAGTCACCGTGGGATAGTTGGTCACAAAATCCAAAAAAGCACCATATTGTTTTCTACAGGTTCAAACATCACAATACTGAAGCTTTAGCAAAGCTGATATTACTTCTCCCCACTTTAAGCTCCACCTACCAAATAACACAATAATGCTACTTACACAGTACCTCAAAGAAACAGCTGATGAGACAGAATGTGTAAGCATGTAAACTTCAATTCTCCAGTGATGTTAAAATACTTCTAGACCAACTCCTCCTTTATGTGTTGTTTGCACTTCCAGTAAATGTTTCCTTCACTGAAAAATAGTTACACTTACAACATTAATATAGAGAATTCTGCATCGTACTGCTAAGGTTTGTTCTGCTTCTAGGCGCTGTTTGGAGCAAGAAATGTTACGGTTACTTACCATATAACACATAATAAACCTACGAATAAGTATTTGTGTAATCATTTTCAATCTGCAGGGATTACAGTTAAATATTTAATATAATCTCTTTTTGTTCCTGACCAATATTTGCATTGTCAGAAACACATTTAGCCATTAGGTTAAACAAAATGAACATTGTTTAAAGAACTGGCAGGTTTATTTCCACAGACACTCAAAAGCTTCAAATGGCCATGGAAATAGATACCTTAGTGAAAAAGGCACAAAAACATGAACTTATTTGGATTTAGTGTTAGAGGGCTTTGAGACTTCCTGTGTTGTATTTGTTCAGTGGCTCAATCTAATTTCATGTGACTGAATAAACACTTTTAGAGCACTAAGATCTGAGAAAGATATGTTACGCTTTAATACCGGTTGCAATAAGAAAGAAAAGCATATGATGCTGCACATTTGTTCGTGTTCCCTAAAAAAAACAAAACAAATATCAGGACGCTTGTGCAAACACACTTGTTTTTTGTTTTTCCTCTCTCAGCACTCCGTCTCTTTAGTATCAATGCGTTCCTGCCTCTTAAGGCGCCGTCGGTCCTTGGCTGGTAGGTTCTGTTCGGTCAGATCCTCGAAGGAGGATTTCGTAGCCGACGAGCAGGCTCCTGCGGTTGTGAAATCTTCCAGCAGGCCCTCCTCTCCCAGGTGAGAGCCGCTGCTGGTGTCCTCCTGGATGGTGGCCATCCGCAGCCCCCCTGCGCTGTCCGGGGTGGGGCCGGAGTTCAGATCGGGGGCCGGGGTACTGGTGTTGGTTGCGAGTGTGGCCCGGACCTGGCTCTGCGGCTGAGGCTGTTGTTGATGGATGAAGGGCACGGTCCGGCCGCCGGAGGAGGAGGGAGGCTGAAGAGGCTTGACGATGCGCACGGATGCTGACTCGAGGTTGCTCAGCACGTCTTGATTCTGAAGAGGGAGAACAGCATGTGAGGACGGAGGCAAGTCACAGCTGTGTGTGACTGAGGTGGCACCCATTCCCTTTTTACTACATTCTGTTTAATTCAGAGCATCACATGTATCCCAGAACTTTACAGTTTAACTCCCCAACATATGTTTTATAATAATAACCTCATGTTGCTGATTGCGCTACCTTTAAGTAGCTCCTATCTACTCTTATCTACACTCTTAAAACACACCCAATATCTTAAGGTGGGAATGAGTAAAAACAAAAACCTTTCTGCCTTTGACCATTTTGAAGTGTCAGGCAAATGTGATTTATTAATTATGACTGCAATCCATTTAGGGTTACCAGCACCCTGATATTAAACACATTGGTTCAGCTGCAGGATTTAAAAGCAAACCTAAATGGAACTAAGCCATCATTAATTTGATCATTTGTGCGAGCGCTTAAAATGCTCTAACAAGTCAAAATGTCTGCAAGAAAGGTCTTAAGAGGAATGTACCCCCCAGTCTTTTTCTTCTCCCTCCAATCAAACCCAAAGAAGGACCTCACACAGTGCACACAGCCACTAAACAAAAAATAAAAACAGTCACCTAAACACTTCTTGTTTTGGCTTTGAAGAGCAACTAAAAACTGAAAAATGTCGACACACACTGCATCCAATTTCACGAACGACAACAATGTGAAACCCGTTTGGTCGTCTCGATGTTTGAATACTCCAAAAGTGCAATCTTGCTTACTTGAGGCAATTCCTGATCTGCTGCTCCACAGCTGTTCAGTCACATGAAGCTGTGCGAGCCTCCCTCGCTTTATTTGTCAGATGAAGACGAGTTCGAGGGGCTGCAAATGTGCAGCTGGATCAGTGATTACCATCAAGCAGTAAGTGACTGCAAGAGTATCCCAAACGTGGGCCACTGACCATGCACCGTCATGGACTCAATGGCAACGCATTGCAACACCAAGCCGTCGCACACACACTCACCTATGGCGGGAGCTCTACTACAAATTTCCACCATCTGCTGCAGTTCCAAGGCAAAGAGTGATGGACAGGTCATTCAGAAAACCCAGCAGTGACAGTGAGGCCATTGCTTGTGGATTATCTGACCACTGGTTTATACAATTTAAAGAGAGTCTTCTGATTCTCATTCTTACCCTTTTATTTTTCCAGGTCTGGGCTGGTTTACCACTAGCCTTTTCCAACATCAAATAATGATATTAAAGGTAAAACCACAATTTCCCAGCTCAGCAACAAAAACCATAACTGTTAGCAAATTTTAAAGTTGGCCTATTTTGATTTTTCTCATCTTTTGTCACACATATACCGTTTCAATGTGGGAAGCACATATAAAACATGGCCAGGCTCCCTATGAACTAAAAGCTCAGGCTTAAGATGCTCTAAATGCTAATTTCATCATGTTTCCTTTTACTCTTGGTGCTGCAGGATGATCAGAGAAGGAAAATCAGCAGCAGACACACAAGACTTTTGGTTAAACCTTCTGTTTAAAAGGCTCAGCCAATCAGAGGAAAGTCAGCTGGAAAGAAGAAGAGCTAAAAACAGATCTTGTTTTCTGGCAATGAGGGGGTTGCCGTATGCTCCAGCATAAGATATAAGCAATACTTTGAACTTTAAATGTTACACTGCAGTTTTGAATTTATGTCTTAATGTCTCATTTGCAATGAAAAAAGGCCAACCCCTGATCCTCAGTTACAGTCCTTCCTGTTTCTTCTCCCTGCTTGATTAAAGAGGTCAGTTTTTAAGAAGCAATATGGAACTGGATTAGTTTGGTTAGTCTGGTGCAAGAGAGCAACGGTGGTGCACAGGATCAGCGTGTGTGAGCACTGGAAAGTTGAAGAACTTACATTTGGAGGATAATAAAATGACTTTGTGTTCTCCTCATACTGCTGGTCGAGTCGCTTGTCCTAAAGATAGAGGTAACAGAAAAGGACAGCATAAGCATAGTGCTAATGATGCAAATATCAGCTGCTCATTGTACACTGAAGACAATGGGGATCAGTGCAAATGGATATTCAGCAGCTTCTTACCACACAGTGAACCAGGATACTGAGAGGAATCCAGAAGATGAGGGAAAACACCACGACTGAGCCCACTATGTTATCAGCCAAGAACTTCCCTGATGTGGTGATGAGGTGGAGGATAGTGATAAACACACAAAAGAGGAGAAGAAGAAGAAAAACTTTGAATTTGACTAAGCTAAGCTACTACAGTCATAAACATTAAAACAATATCACAATTATTCAGAGTTTTATTGTATCTGGAAGCATTTTCACACACTTTTTAACGCCGACTTACCAAATGTGTTTATGTCCAGCTTGTCAATAAAGTCCCACAGCCTCTCAATCACATCCTGTACCTGCTTCATGCACTTTCCCTTTATGACCGAAAACAAAGTTGACATTGAAATAAAAATAATATCTCCAAAATGTTGTAACGCTGACACAGTTTTGTCAGCACTACTGTAGTTCAGAAATACAGAAATATGATAGGATCAGCAGGTTTCTTGATTGCAGAGCAGAGAAGTATAAAGGTTTGGTAACTCACGCCTTCATCACAGAAGCCCACGGTGCAGGGTTTTCCTTTGCGAAGGAATAGAAAGTTGCCACCATTAGAGTAGGGAGAGCAGGTGCCATTTTTACTCCTGCAGCACACTTTACAGGAGTGCTCAGTATCTGGAAGCAGAAGAGACGATCAACACAAGAAGCATTTAAAAAAATATTGAGAACTGTTATTCATTTATATCCTGGATATATTGAAAGAATATCCAAGCTTATTCAAACAGTCCCTTTTATTCTTAATATGTTACTTCCAGCTGTAAATCCAAAAAAGAAAAATTCATCTGTGATCTTGTCATTTCTTTCCAAACTCATTGATTTTTGCTTGTCTAGATACTCCTCCATCTGATTACCTCTATAATCAGTGAGAGTCTCCAGGCTTATTCAGCAAATCTCAGACATTTTCAAATGTTGTTGAAAGAAATAAAAATCACCATTGCAAGCGCAAGGCTGAAGGTTCAGCTCAGCCTCACAGAAGGGCACACACTCTCCATTGCGACACAGGCCTTTGTCAACACACACTGTTTTGTCAGCAGCATTTTCAGGAGGTGGGCATTCACTGCTGTTACCTGTTATGTGAAGAAAAGGGTTAATTTATCTAGTTTTTTAATAGGCAGGCTTGAATAACTGCTGCAGTTCTCGTGTTACACCAGCAGGAGGCGATCACCTGTGCAGACTGATTTGCCTTTACAGGTAGCATTGATGGGCTCCTGGCACACTGTTCCTCTCTTTGCATAAGTGCAGTTCTTGCAGCAAGGGCTGTTTCTGTCACTGTAAAGAAATCAATTAATCCAACATTTGATTCGATTGTTGTTTTTCAAAAAAATTCCTTATAGATCCATCTTTTGGATTTCATACCTGCACTTTGCATGACTTTTGAACTTGCAATTGGAGGTGCAGCAGGGGTCATCATTGAGGTGGAGAAGCCCAGGGTCGCAATCTTCCCCATTCTCCACTCTGGAGTTTCCACAGACTTTGCTGTTCCTCTCTTTGAAGCACAGCGGTGCCTTGTGACTTAATGTCTTCTCTACAGAAGCCTTGCTGCAGTTGGAGAAATGCTTGAGGAAAAACAAGAAGATAAGAATTAATCTGTAACAGGTTAAAGAGGACTAAATTTTTACTGTTATTTTGTGTGTGTGATTGAAGGTGATGTGACAAAGAATAGTCATGAATCTTTAACGCTGAAATAATGACATACGCAAATCACTTGCCTCTAAATTTTCCAAACCTGAATCTCAAAAGGTTTAACAGTTTATGCAATTATCTTGTTTTATGCTTCTCCTCAAACACCTAACGTGGTTGATGTGAAGCTGCAGAAATCATAAGGCCAATGATGGAGGAAGCGCATAAGATTTTGCGTGTGTTGTTAATTTCACAGGAACAACTGTGACTCAGTTATCCCACCTTCTGCACAACCAGAAGCTGCCATCCATTCTGCCCATCACATTCTGTATCATCTCAGCTCATCTTGCAGACATATATCCTGGTATGCAGCAGTCTATTCAAACTAAACGGCATCATAGCCTATTTAAAAAAATAAATAAACAATGCTACCTGCTGTAAATTTGATTGATCTGCCCCCTCAAGTACAACTTGTTGGCAAGGTTATTATGGTTAACTAAAACAAAATGTGACATTTTAGCTAACTAAAATAAAAACTAGACTTTCGAAAATAATTAAAACTGGTCAGATTTTTATTTGTTTGGCTGTAACAAAAGGGGACTTTAAGTCGACTGCTTTCTACAAGTTCTGTGTTTAAAATGTAAAGCTGAAACTGATTTTCCTAAACCTTGCCTCTGGCATAATCCATCGATACAATAATAACATTACAGACTAAAACTGAAACAAATAAAAACTAAATGGAAACGAAACGAAAGGCCATGGTTCTCAGCCGGAAAAGGGTGGAGTGCCCACTCCGGGTCGGGGATGAGTTCCTGCCCCAAGTGGAGGAGTTCAAGTATCTCGGGGTCTTGTTCGCGAGTGATGGGAGAAGGGAGCCGGAGATCGACAGACGGATTGGGGCTGCGGCTGCAGTAATGCAGACGCTGCACCGGTCCGTCGTGGTGAAGAGGGAGCTGAGTGTAAAAGCGAAGCTCTCAATTTACCGGTCGATCTACGTCCCTACCCTCACCTATGGCCATGAGCTGTGGGTAGTGACCAAAAGAACGAGATCGCGGATACAAGCGGCGGAAATGAGCTTCCTCCGAAGGGTGGCTGGCCTCTCCCTTAGAGATAGGGTGAGAGGTTCAGCCATCCGGGAGGGGCTCAGAGTAGAGCAGCTGCTGCTCCACATCGAAAGGAGCCAGCTGAGGTGGTTCGGGCATCTGACAAGGATGCCCCCTGGGCACCTCCTGGGTGAGGTGTTCCAGGCGTGTCCCACCGGGAGGAGGCCCCGGGGCAGACCCAGGACACGCTGGAGAGATTATATCTCTCGGCTGGCCTGGGAACGCCTTGGTGTTCCCCCGGATGAGCTGGAGGAGGTGGCTGGGGAGAGGGAGGTCTGGGCCTCTTTGCTTAGGCTGCTGCCCCCGCGACCCGGCTCCGGATAAAGCGGATGAAGATGGATGGAAACGAAACATTTTCAACGATAACTGAAACGAGCAAACTCACTCTGGAAACTTACTGAAACTTAACCAAATGAAAAACAAAAAGTCCAAATGAAAGTAATCAAAACGATAATAATTCTGTTTCTGTTGTGGACTTGCTGTTCTGACCTCTCACACTGTACACCGTTTGATTTCACCACAGAGTTGCACAAAAAGATGATGCCAATCACTTATAACCAATAGTTTGTCCATTCCCACAACTTTTTGATCAAAGCAAATCAAGTAGTAGCTGAACTACGAGCACAGCTGAAGTATTGTTGGGTCTGCCCCCCCCCCCCCCCCCTTGTCTAGTTATGACATGCCAGCCCTGTCTCCAGGACCAAGTATCTACTGTGCTTATCATGGTTGTTTTCTTTTTGTTGTCTTTTCTTTAATCCTGCCAAAAATAATCACCTATCTGGCCTTTTATCAGCACTACTCCTGTGCCGCACATATTTAAACTAAATCCAGAACTCACTGTGTACACTGCAGCCTGTGAGCTCAACATAAGAAGGACCAAGATTTAATTAAGCTTAGGATCAGGTCTTATTCATAGTGAGTAATACTAATTCACACAGCTATGTATTAATGACTAACATTGTGGGTCATCGCAGACGTTCTCTCTTCCTGGCATGTGACTGTATTTGTCTCTGTGTCAACATGGACTTTCACGAAGAACAGTTTAACCCTCCTCTTTCATCTTCCTGGTGTTTAGGTCTCAACTTTAAATGTCAATGACCTTTGGAGGATTAGTGAAATTGCGCTACTTGAAATAGTTTTTTATGTTTAGTGTGCAAAGATGTACAGTGTAGTTTTGTTTTTTCTCTCTTTAATCATAACATGGCATCTCCTCTTTAGGTGGAAACTAGCTAACTAGCTTCTCGATCATTTCTAAGGCTGCTTTTTCATGGATACCTGGATGTTAAACTTTATTGTAACACCTTGGACGACAGACACATTGATCATGATACTGTAGCTGAAAGAACCTGGACTGTTTAACTCTCAGTGTTGCTTCACTGTGTTTACTTTGGGAAGTGAAGAAGCATCTGAACCCTGGAAATAGCTAATGATGTCAGGCTTACCAAGCATATATGTTTTTATATTACATGAATGGATAGTTACCTTGTTGTTGACATGATCTCCACTCACAGCAATAGGGTACATGACAAACTTCCCCCCCTGGTCATCACTGGGGGCACAGTACGGTATATTATCAGGATCATGCTCTGCTCCAAAGTTATGGCCCAGCTCATGAGTAGTTACCAAATCTGCCTCCTGATGAGACAAAAACAACATTAATTTTTAATGCTTAATTTTTAAGCTACCTAAGAATAAATCTAGAATCTAAAATCCATTCTGTTTAAAATAAAGGTAAAAGTTATAATTACATAGTTAAGTTTTGCACATTATATTTATAACAGTAAGCGTTTTGCAGATGAGCGTGGAGCATAACGCTACTTGGGGTGTCAAAATGCAGCCTGACTTGACATCGATACTCATCACACCCACACAAAAAGGTGTGTCTGCTCTACCTAGAACCTCAGCTTGGCAGACTGACATGTTGCGTAACATCTTGGCTGAACTGCACCCAGCAACTCGTTTTATTCTGAAATTATGACTAAAGAAATGAGACGAAACAGACCTTTGTGAGGATGGTTTTGCCGTAGTTCTTGGTGCTTGTCAGGCCTGTGTTGAGATAACTCGGCTTCTTTGAAGAATGAGATGGATAGTAAGCTAGAAAATTACAAAGGAAAGTGTCAGTACCTTTTTTTGTTTGTTCTAAAAAAAGCCTCCAACACATGGCTTTTTGTTTGGTTTCTTTTCAATATTATGGCTCGTTTTTCTTTTTGTTTTTAGCTTAACAGAGTAGAAATCATAGTTTGTCCATCTGGTCAAGAGCTGTGCCAGTGCAGTAAATTTTAATGGAGCTAATTGTCCTAACAGGGAAACGCTAAAAGTTAGGCTTTCAAAATGACATTAGAAAAATCCTCCATGCAAATAATCAAAAAGTGATCTTACGTTTTGGGCAGAGTCCACCTAGAGCCTGAGGTTTGGAGGGGGCCACATACGCCAGACCCAGTGTCCCCTCATCAAAGTCCTGGTATGTAAACAGGTGGGCCAGACACACACTAGAGGCATTGTCAGCAATGTCCGAGCTGAATTGCTGCAGGACAAGAGGATTCTTATTTGTCACCATTTCTGTAAATCCTAATTATTTTTCAATGGCAATACAAAAATATTGGACATTCAGAAACTGAGCTCTGTGTAAAACTCTTTGATTTGGAACAATATTTATCTTATACCAGGACATTTTACATGATGCACTCAACTTATTTACCATATTACCTCAAACAAACCTGTGCTCAGCTACTTGAACTCACTATTTTTATGCATTTGTGTAAATGGATTAAACAACCTGATTGAGTTGAACTGAATGATTTCCAAAACTAATCTTGGAAATATGAATCCAGTCAGTTTTGCCTGAAAAGGCCCCTTTGAACTTTGTGTATCTATACACTTTGGTTTTCTTGCTTTTGTACCTCCAGAAGTCTCTTCACGTCCCAGACCTCCTTTCCTTTTACAGGGCTGTCCTCCATGTTGTAATGGACCCAGTTGGGCTGGTTAGGGGGAGGCTTTGTAGGCTCCTTGTTAATAATGATCTGCGAATAGTAACCAAAGACACAATTTCAGTAAGTGTCATTTCTGAGTAATACAAAATTTAAATTAAAGCCATGCCCCTAAGTGTAATGCTAATAATAAGTGCTACGTGGAACATTTTATCTGAAAAGCTATTAAAGTAATAAGAGCAATGTGTTGGGCGTTCCCTTTCAGACCCTTACTGGGGGTTAAATGTGACACAGTTCAAGTTCCTCTTGACATTTATTGTGAAGAAAATTAGTCATTAAGCAGCTAAATGAATGCATATCTTTTCAGTGAGAACGCACTGAGTTCATAGTGTGACAAACAGTGTTTCTATTCATTCCCAAAGCCAGTGGAACAAATTAAATTACCCAACGAGGAATGCACAAAAGCTTCCAGTTTCTCCTAAAAATGCACTTCTCAAAGCCACTGAGGGGGCAGCGTTATTCTCAGCCTCATTTCCGGAGTGACGCAATATAAAACATCAGCCATCGTGAGGCTGGGAGCAGCACCGACTGACACTAAATCGCCACAAGTGGATCAAAATGTCAATATTTGACAGTACTGTAATGTTATGACACACAGCCACGTACACACCTGATGGATCTGGACCCCATAGTTTTTAAATTCCTTACTCCATGTTGTGTTTCTATAAATATCGTCAACTCGATCAATTAGCTCAATCTGGGATAGGAAAAGAAAATAATCAGACATACAAATAAAGCATTTTGACACACCTGAATATGCAAACAACAAAATTCCTGCTGGCTTTATTTACAATTACTCTTTCAACGGGAAACAAAATGTGACAAAAGTTATTCTGCTGAAATATACATGTATAATAACACATTAGAAAATCAGACCAGGTAGTTCAGAGTAATGCTCTCTTCTTTGCGGCCCATGTGTCTGTAGAAGCGGTAGTCTGCAACCAGCAACAGGGGACAGGTATTCTTCTTGTGATCGTGAACTTGTCTCTTCTCTCTGTGGTGGTATTCTGCCAGGACGAAGCAACAGAAGCAGAGAGAAAGAATAAGTACAAGCAAAAGATTCAGAAAAGTAGAATCTTTTTTTGTAGCATTGCCTCACCAGATAAGTCTCAGGTAAGACAGATTAAGTACAAAGTACATAAAGATGCTGGACAATGAGGCCACGCTCCAATATCCCATTGTTAATTGTCCTCATTTTCAGATATAGTAACATGACTTCTCTTTTTTTGCTTGGCTGTGATCTGATTAAGCTCTACCTCTGTTCAGGCCAGATTTAAATAGCAGATTTAGCCTTATTATAGAGGTTTAACAGCACAATAAATGTGGATGAGGTGTACTTTACAGGGAGGAACAAAGCCACTGTAAACACAAGGTAATTTAATGCGCAGATCATACAGTGTTGGGCTCCATCACCTACCTTAAGCGTAGGTATTCATGATATACTCAGTTATTTATTTTTAGTCCGCTTAAGTTGCTTTGTTCTTCCTTTATTAAAAGTCTAGCATTAATCCATCTACCCACTCACTTTTCCAATTTAAGGTCGCAACCTAGCCATCACGAGGTACACCCCTGACAGGTTGGCGGTTTACAACAACATTAACACAGACACACAAACAACCATTCGCGCTCACACTCACAACTACGGACAATTTAGAATCAACAGCTAAACTAATATGCATGTTTTTGGACTGTGTGAAGAAGACAGACGACCCACACGGGCACAGAACCAGAACCTTCATGCTGTGAGGTAACAGTGCTAACCGCTGCACCAGTCTGCTGCCCCTGCATTCATTGTCAATATTCAATTAATCATGTTCCTCAGCAGGGTCCTTCAAATATAAGCCAAATATGTGTTTAGACACGAAGGAAACAAAGTTCTCTTGCTGCAAGGATTTTCAAACTAAACAGAAGATGGCTTTATTTTATTCATTTATTTATTTTATTTTTTGGGTTATTTTTAAGGGTTTTGGGGGTTATTTTAAGGGGCTCTTTGCACAATTCCTCCTATTGTGCAAAGAGCCCTACATCACCCAGCTTTAAAAAAAACTCTTCTATAAAAGGTGGAGGGCCATGAGTGCAAAAATAAATTAAACAATCACATCATTAAACATCCAAAAGTTGGTTCTGTTCACCTGGACGTAGCGCTTTCAGTGGAACGAACGTTTTGTCACTTTGATAAGATCCAGATGAACAAAACGAACTTTTGGGGATTTCCTCATCTGGATGACTAAGTTGGCAACAACACACATCATTAGATAATTAATTAAATATGAGTCAATATTTAATTAAAATTTAAAATAAATACATAAACAATCTTTTACATTTTTTAAATAAAATAATATTTAATTACTTACACATTAAATGTTACAATTCATATTAATATATAATTTATTTAACTCATTTTGGCTCTTGCAGCCCTCCATATAAACTAAGGCGATCCTTCATTATAAATCTGTGCTTTTAATAGACTAAAAATCTACAACCTACTACCCAAGATAAAATCAACAACAAATCCTTTAGGAAAGAATGACGATTAATACAATTTAAAAATAAATAAATAAATTATTCGAATGCATGTGCAAAGTCATTTTACCGTGTAACGGTCACAGTATGTTCGTCATAAAAATCTGAATATTCTACCTAGAAATGTTTAAGTGAGACTCACACACCCTAAATAATGCATTACAGAAAAGGAAAACAGGAAGACATCCTTTGGGGCATTACATCACACAGTACACTCGACACTATTCAAAAGTGTGGGTGTGCGCTTCACTGTCCTCCACAACAAGCAGTGGGAGACCAGTGACGACTCAGAGTCCGCTCATTGGGCAGAGGAGCATCCATGAATTTTAATGCCTCCTCCTCCATACGAACCTTCACCTCAGCTCATTTCCCCAAAGAGCATTTTCAACCAGGAACCAGTGAGAGCTGTTGCATACATCTCCTCTGGCACATCGCGCTGTTATATTCTTTACATTTCCAAAGCAGCACAAAAGAATGAAGAGGCATTTGGTTTTTACATAATGCCTACTTGTGATCAGTGTGTATGTGCATAACACAGGATGGAGATAGAAAGGCTTGTATTAAAGTGACTGAATCCAACACCCACCTCCTTTGTCTCACTACAGGCTCCTCTTTCCTTCTCTCCACCTTAAACATTTGCTATCCTCCTACTCTTTTTCACCTACTCCTATAATCCACACCAGCACAGAGCCCACGCTGTAACAGCACAAATATCTGCACAGATTTGCGAGATTCACCACTTCAAGAGAGTTAAAAAGCACAGCTCACCCTCTTCCTGGTCCACCCTCTCCTGCCCTTCCCAGTCCCCTCTGGTATTCTGTGGCAAAAGGGGCTCAGCGTTGACGTAGCCACACACTTTTGGAGAAGCAATGCGGCTCAGATTCTTGACATCTTCTGAGCGATAAACCAGCAACCTCCCATCAGTTGGGGAATCGGTAAATCTCCACAGGGGCTGCATTTTTATAAATTTTTTAAAGAGAGAAAGAAAGAGCTGGTATTAGAGAGAAAAAATCACAGAGCTTGATGAAACGTGAGTATTGATAGCTGGAGAAAAAAAGACAGTAAGGGTAGTGGTGTGGTGGGAATGGACTGGCAGGTGTGTCAGATTTACACAATATGACAAATGCACTGTATCGTTTACTTCTGTGTAGTTTCACATGTTAGTTGTGAATAATTAGAACAGATATTGGGCATTTTTAATCACACAAAATAAGCTCATTTCTACAAGGCATCGATTATTTAGCTGCCTCACTTTCTACTAATCTAGCATCTTTTTCAACTGACACTATAGGTAAGCTCTATACTGGTAATATTTTATGATATCTCAGCAAGCAAGCCCAGCACGTTGTACTCAGTTGTTGTATACATATAGATTTTGGGGTTTTGTATTGGTTTTGTTATTGCTGCCGTTACATGCTTCAGGAGTGCGGGCTTGATGATGTGAAACAGCTAAGGTTAAGCGTCTTACAAAGAAAAATACTGAATTTAAATTCTCCCCTCTATTTTGGCACGGAGACAGCAGGTATACAGATGCATACCTCTACATTGTACTCTGCTTCATCAGTCAGAATGTGAGCAGAAAACTCATCTCCGTCTATGTGTGCCTGCACACGCGAATTCTCCTCCCCTGCGAACATAAAACAAATTATTAGTAACATTTAATAAATATGGATTTACTTCAGATATATAAAAATTTGCTTGATTTCCACATATAAACTGTAACTCTTCTAAAATGAAAGACTGGAAAAATTATATTCTGAAAATATGTTTTTTTTCATTCACTCACCAACAACATGGCCAGTGAAATAGTTTTGGAGGTGAACATCATAATTTTCCTTCATCCCGTGTTTGTCAACAAACACAGCTTGGAAGTTGTCCGTGAAAAGGTCTGTGTTTGTGGTCAAGTAAAGTTTGAAATGTCTGGATTTGGAAAAGAAGATAACATATTTTACTTAACCAATAAATGGCTGTTTGGTCCTGTGTGAGACATCAAACTGGGTTTAGCAGACATAGTATTTACTACGGGTGCAACGATACACAAAATTCACGGTTCGGTTCGATACTTTGGTGTCACGGTGTGTATGTGTCTGTATCTCCTCCTAGATTGGAACACTGTAGAACATCCAGTGTGAGGGCCAACATCTATATAGCATATACAAATATTCTATAAAAATCCCACAATTGTATATATTTGTACATTTGACAGTTCAATTGAGCACCAAACACCTCGCACAGGAGTTTGCTAGTAAATATAAATTGCAATTATTAAATAGAGCAGGCAAAAAAATAGTCTTTTGGGCACATTTCGATTTTACAGTTTGTGTAAATTTAGAATTGTCATCTCAATTATTTTTGACGTGAGAGGATTTAACAAAACTAACAAAACTGAAACCTTTCTTGTTCCCCTTTCAAGACAAAGGGAACTAGGCACGAACTCACCGCTTCAACTGAGCCTTTTCTTTTTACAAATAACACTTCTTACAAAACAGTCTATAACAGCCACAACAGTCTATTAGGTTTGTACTGAGCCATGGCTGTGTGGATTTTTAACAGTTTCTAAAAGGTAGAACGCAAAACATTTAGCTTTTTCCAAGACTTACACAGTTTCTGCCATTACTGCTATTTGGCAATGATGGCAGTAATGCACATGTAGGATTCACCAATAAAAGAAAAGGTTCTGAGTGCTTCGGGCAAAAAAGCAGCACAGTTAAGACTAAACAAAAGAAAAACAAAGCATGCTTTGAGAAAATCAGGAAAGAATTATCAGGAAAGTGCAAGAAAAATGGCTTAAAGAAAACAAAGCTCCTATGAGATTAATTTTTACCCTCTCTGTAACACTTGGAGACCTGATTGTGCCACTGATTGTGATCATTATTATTATTAGAATATAGTGACTAGTGAGACAACAGCAGATCAGTGTTATAATCTCTGAGCCACAAACACAAATTTGTGTTTCTAAAGAGACTGATAAAAAAACAAAAAAAAAACATGTCAAACACGTTAGAGATGTTTTACCAGGTCCTCATTACTCCAAAACCAATGTATAATATCACAGTGGAAATCTGCTCATAGATTTGATCAAGATTTTTACCTCATGTGCACAGCTATAGGGGTCTTTGTTTTAACACAAACCTAAAGGAAAAGTGAAGCGACTCAACAACATCGCTTAAAAGAGCTCATTGTTGTACCTGTGCAGGGCTCTGAAGCTCACCAGACGCTCAAGGTGGGACTGGGTGTGGACGTCCCTCTTCCTCAGAGAGTGCAACTGGAGGCCTGACAAAGGCAGCACCTCATAATCTGACAGGACTGAGTTCAGAGAATCTGGAATATGAAGGGGAAAACTGTCACATAAGACCGAGGACATACTGAGTTCGTTCATTTACAAAAGTCTGCACATGTGAAAACGCCACTGCGGTCAAGTGAGCCCTCACTTACGAAGTCACAGTCAAGCTAGCCGCCCCGCCAGCCGCACCGAAAATGTGGTTGCACTACTCTTACGTATATTACGGTATGGGTGAAGACCGGCTTAGAAACGCAGTGTTTTGTGTCCTGACACTATTTTACTTCACAATCCACTCCCATTTTTAGTGTATCTCCACTTTCCCCCCTGTGATCCACAGCCCAAATTACTGTATGATTCAGAGAAAATTAACAATAAAATTTACCCAATTTACTCAACTATACTTTTAATGTCCTCATCGTTGACCTCAGATTACAGGAAAACTGTAAGAGGTGACGCAGATATTTCACTGGATTCTGACTCTAGGCCATCTCCACTCTTCACCCTGTGATCCACAGCCAAAATTACTGTATGGATTTTGAGAAAATTCATAGCAAAATCTTCCCATTGTGCTTTACTGTACTCCACATATTAACATCTTTGAGCTCTGATTACAGGAAAACTGTAAGAGGTGACACAGATATTTCACTGGATTCTGACTCTGGGGGACCCCCACTCTGCACCCTGTGATCCACAGCAAAAATTACAGTATGGATTTTGAGAAAATTCATAGCAAAATCTTCCCATTTTGCTTTACTGTACTTTATACATTGACATCTTTGAGCTCCGATTACAGGAAAACTGTAAGAGGTGACGCAGATATTTCACTGGATTATGAATCTAGGCTGTCGCCACTCTGCACCCTGTCATCCACAGCCAAAATTACTGTACAGTTTTTGAGAAAATTGATAGTAAACTTTGCACAATTTACTGTACTATACTCTATATATTCTCATCTTTGAGCTCAGATTACAGGAAAACTATAAGAGGTGACGCAGATATTTCACTGGATTCTGAATCTAGGCTGTCGCCACTCTTCACCCTGTCATCCACAGCCAAAATTACTGTACAGTTTTTGAGAAAATTCATGGTAAAATCTTCCCATTTTGCTTTACTGTACTCTACATATTGACATCTTTGAGCTCCGATTACAGGAAAACTGTAAGAGGTGACGCAGATATTTCACTGGATTATGAATCTAGGCTGTCTCCACTCTTCACCCTGTGATCCACAGCCAAAATTACTGTACGGTTTTTGAGAAAATTGATAGTAAACTTTGCACAATTTACTCTACTGTACTCTATATATTCTCATCTTTGAGCTTAGATTACAGGAAAACTGTAAGAGGTGACGCAGATATCTCACTGGATTATGACTCTGGGGGACCCCCACTCTGCACCCTGTGATCCACAGCAAAAATTACTGTATGGATTTTGAGAAAATTCATAGCAAAATCTTCCCATTTTGCTTTACTGTACTCTACATATTGACATCTTTGGCCTCAGATTACAGGAAAACTATAAGAGGTGACGCAGATATCTCACTGTATTCTGACTCTAGGCTGTCGCCACTCTTCACCCTGTGATCCACAGCCAAAATTACTGTACGGTTTTTGAGAAAATTGATAGTAAACTTTGCACAATTTACTCTACTGTACTTTTAATATCCTCGTCTTTAACCTCAGATTACAGGAAAACTGTAAGAGGTGACGCAGATATTTCACTGGATTATGACTCTGGGTGACCCCCACTCTGCACCCTGTGATCCAGAGCAAAAATTACTGTACGGATTTTGAGAAAATTGATATTAAAATCTTCCCATTTTGCTTCACTGTACTCTACATATTGACATCTTTGAGTTCCGATTACAGGAAAACTGTAAGAGGTGACGCAGATATTTCACTGGATTCTGACTCTAGGCTGTCGCCACTCTTCACCCTGTCATCCACAGCCAAAATTACTGTACGGTTTTTGAGAAAATTGATAGTAAACTTTGCACAATTTACTCTACTGTACTCTATATATTCTCATCTTTGAGCTCAGATTACAGGAAAACTGTAAGAGGTGACGCAGATATTTCACTGGATTATGAATCTAGGCTGTCGCCACTCTGCACCCTGTCATCCACAGCCAAAATTACTGTACAGTTTTTGAGAAAATTGATAGTAAAATCTTCCCATTTTGCTTTACTGTACTCTACATATTGACATCTTTGAGCTCAGATTACAGGAAAACTATAAGAGGTGACACAGATATTTCACTGGATTCTGAATCTAGGCTGTCTCCACTCTGCACCCTGTGATCCACAGCCAAAATTACTGTACGGATTTTGAGAAAATTGATAGTAAACTTTGCACAATTTACTCTACTGTACTTTATATATTGACATCTTTGAGCTCAGATTACAGGAAAACTGTAAGAGGTGACGCAGATATCTCACTGGATTATGACTCTAGGCTGTCACCACTCTTCACCCTGTGATCCACAGAAAAAATTACTGTACGGTTTTTGAGAAAATTGATAGTAAACTTTGCACAATTTACTGTACTGTACTTTTAATATTCTCATCTTTGACCTCAGATTACAGGAAAACTGTAAGAGGTGACGCAGATATCTCACTGGATTATGACTCTGGGTGACCCCCACTCTGCACCCTGTGATCCACAGCCAAAATTACTGTACGGATTTCTGATAAAATTAAATCCTATTCCATTACCAAACAAAATGAGTTCATTGAAGTATTTGCTTAACTACAAGAAATGTCTTTCCACACACAATTTAAATTTTTCAAAATGTCATTCACACACCACCTCAAGTATCAACTTCAGTTTTAGACATTATTTATTCAGTGCTTAATCACAACAATAGTCAACTTAAGGCACTTACATAATAAGTTAAACCTTACAATAATACATACAGAGAAAAACCCAACAATCATATGACCCCCTATGAGCAACAGTGGGAAGGAAAAACTCCCTTTTAACAGGAAGAAACCTCCGGCAGAACCAGGCTCAGGGAGGGGCGGCCATCTGCCTCAACCGGTCAGGGTGAGAAATTACATTTCTCAGATTACTGATTTCTCATATTACTACTACACAGTTTAGATACACTCAACAAAAATATAAACGCAACACCTTTGTTACTGCTCCCATTCCCCATGGGATGGACGTAGAGACCGAAAATTCATTCCAGATACAAATCTGACATCATGAGTAGTGCACAGGTGTACCTCAGACTGCCCACAACAAAAGGCCACCCTGGAATGTGCAGTTTTGTCTCACAGCAAAATGCCACAGACGCCACAAGCAATGAGGGAGCGTGCAATTGGCATGCTGACAGCAGGAATGTCAACCAGATCTGTCGCCCGTGCATTGAATGTTCATTTCTCAACCATAAGCCGTCTCCACAGGCGTTTCAGAGAATATGGCAGCACATCCAACCGGCCTCACAACCGCAGACCTCGTGTAACCACACCAGCCCAGGACCTCCACATCCAGCAGGTTCACCTCCAAGATCGTCTGAGACCAGCCACCCAGACAGCTGCTGGAACAATTGGTTTGCACAACCAAACAATTTCTGCACAAACTGTCAGAAACCGTCTCAGGGACGCTCAACTGCATGCCCGTCGTCCTCATCGGGGTCTTGACCTGACTCCAGCTCGTCGCCGTAACATACTTGTGTGGGCAAATGCTCACATTCGATGGCGTCTGGCACGTTGGAGAGGTGTGCACTTCACGGATGAATCATGGTTCACATTGTTCAGGGCAGATGGCAGCTGAGAATGTCCCAGTTCTTGCATGGCCAGCATACTCACCGGACATGTCACCCATTGAGCATGTTCGGGATGTGCTTGACCGGCGTATACGACAGCGTGTACCAGTTCCCACGAATATCCAACAACCTTGCACAGCCATTGAAGTGGAGTGGACCAACATTCCAAAGGCCACAATTGACAATCTGATAGACTCCATGCGACGATGTGTTGCACTGCATGAGGCAAATGGTGGTCACACCAGATACTGACCGGTTCTGGGTCCCCAGACCCCCAATAGCGCAAAAAACTGCACATTCCAGGGTGGCCTTTTGTTGTGGGCAGTCTGAGGTACACCTGTGCACTACTCATGATGTCAGATCAGCATCCTGATGTGGCACACCTGTGAGGTGGGATGGATTATTTCAATATAGCAGATGTGCCCACTACCACACATTTGGACTGATTTGTGACCACTGTTTGGGAGGGATGGTTATATTGTGTATCTGGAATGAATTTTCGGTCTCTACGTCCATCCCATGGGGAATGGGAGCAGTAACAAAGGTGTTGCGTTTATATTTTTGTTGAGTGTATCTAAACTGTGTAGTAGTAATATGAGAAATCAGTAATCTGAGAAATGTAATTTCTCACCCTGACCGGTTGAGGCAGATGGCCGCCCCTCCCTGAGCCTGGTTCTGCCGGAGGTTTCTTCCTGTTAAAAGGGAGTTTTTCCTTCCCACTGTTGCTCATAGGGGGTCATATGATTGTTGGGTTTTTCTCTGTATGTATTATTGTAAGGTTTAACTTATTATGTAAGTGCCTTAAGTTGACTATTGTTGTGATTAAGCACTGAATAAATAATGTCTAAAACTGAAGTTGATACTTGAGGTGGTGTGTGAATGACATTTTGAAAAATTTAAATTGTGTGTGGAAAGACATTTCTTGTAGTTAAGCAAATACTTCAATGAACTCATTTTGTTTGGTAATGGAATAGGATTTAATTTTATCAGAAATCCGTACAGTAATTTTGGCTGTGGATCACAGGGTGCAGAGTGGGGGTCACCCAGAGTCATAATCCAGTGAGATATCTGCGTCACCTCTTACAGTTTTCCTGTAATCTGAGGTCAAAGATGAGAATATTAAAAGTACAGTACAGTAAATTGTGCAAAGTTTACTATCAATTTTCTCAAAAACCGTACAGTAATTTTTTCTGCGGATCACAGGGTGAAGAGTGGTGACAGCCTAGAGTCATAATCCAGTGAGATATCTGCGTCACCTCTTACAGTTTTCCTGTAATCTGAGCTCAAAGATGTCAATATATAAAGTACAGTACAGTAAATTGTGCAAAGTTTACTATCAATTTTCTCAAAATCCATACAGTAATTTTGGCTGTGGATCACAGGGTGCAGAGTGGAGACAGCCTAGAGTCAGAATCCAGTGAAATATCTGTGTCACCTCTTATAGTTTTCCTGTAATCTGAGCTCAAAGATGTTAATATGTAGAGTACAGTAAAGCAAAATGGGAAGATTTTACTATCAATTTTCTCAAAAACCGTACAGTAATTTTGGCTGTGGAAGACAGGGTGCAGAGTGGCGACAGCCTAGATTCATAATCCAGTGAAATATCTGCGTCACCTCTTACAGTTTTCCTGTAATCTGAGCTTAAAGATGAGAATATATAGAGTACAGTAGAGTAAATTGTGTTAAGTTTACTATCAATTTTCTCAAAAACCGTACAGTAATTTTGGCTGTGGATCACAGGGTGAAGAGTGGCGACAGCCTAGAGTCAGAATCCAGTGAAATATCTGCGTCACCTCTTACAGTTTTCCTGTAATCGGAGATCAAAGATGTCAATATGTAGAGTACAGTAAAGCAAAATGGGAAGATTTTACTATCAATTTTCTCAAAAACTGTACAGTAATTTTGGCTGTGGATGACAGGGTGCAGAGTGGAGATGGCCTAGATTCATAATCCAGTGAAATATCTGCGTCACCTCTTACAGTTTTCCTGTAATCGGAACTCAAAGATGTCAATATGTAGAGTACAGTGAAGCAAAATGGGAAGATTTTACTATCAATTTTCTCAAAATCCATACAGTAATTTTTGCTGTGGATCACAGGGTGCAGAGTGGAGATGGCCTAGATTCATAATCCAATGAAATATCTGCGTCACCTCTTATGGTTTTCCTGTAATCTGAGCTCAAAGATGAGAATATATAGAGTATAGTACAGTAAATTGTGCAAAGTTTACTATCAATTTTCTCAAAATCCGTACAGTAATTTTTGCTGTGGATCACAGGGTGCAGAGTGGGGGTCACCCAGAGTCAGAATACAGTGAGATATCTGCGTCACCTCTTATAGTTTTCCTGTAATCTAAGCTCAAAGATGAGAATATATAGAGTACAGTAGAGTAAATTGTGCAAAGTTTACTATCAATTTTCTCAAAATCCATACAGTAATTTTGGCTGTGGATCACAGGGTGAAGAGTGGAGATGGCCTAGATTCATAATCCAGTGAAATATCTGCGTCACCTCTTACAGTTTTCCTGTAATCGGAGCTCAAAGATGTCAATATGTAGAGTACAGTAAAGCAAAATGGGAAGATTTTACCATGAATTTTCTCAAAAACTGTACAGTAATTTTGGCTGTGGATGACAGGGTGCAGAGTGGCGACAGCCTAGATTCAGAATCCAGTGAAATATCTGTGTCACCTCTTATAGTTTTCCTGTAATCGGAGCTCAAAGATGTCAATATGTAGAGTACAGTAAAGCAAAATGGGAAGATTTTACCATGAATTTTCTCAAAAACTGTACAGTAATTTTGGCTGTGGATGACAGGGTGAAGAGTGGCGACAGCCTAGAGTCAGAATCCAGTGAAATATCTGCGTCACCTCTTATAGTTTTCCTGTAATCTGAGCTCAAAGATGTCAATATGTAGAGTACAGTAAAGCAAAATGGGAAGATTTTACTATCAATTTTCTCAAAAACTGTACAGTAATTTTTGCTGTGGATCACAGGGTGAAGAGTGGAGATGGCCTAGATTCATAATCCAGTGAAATATCTGCGTCACCTCTTACAGTTTTCCTGTAATCTAAGCTCAAAGATGAGAATATATAGAGTACAGTAGAGTAAATTGTGCAAAGTTTACTATCAATTTTCTCAAAAACTGTACAGTAATTTTGGCTGTGGATCACAGCATGCAGAGTGGGGGTCACCCAGAGTCAGAATCCAGTGAGATATCTGCGTCACCTCTTTCAGTTTTCCTGTAATCTGAGCTCAAAGATGAGGACATTAAAAGTATAGTTGAGTAAATTGGGTAAATTTTATTGTTAATTTTCTCTGAATCATACAGTAATTTGGGCTGTGGATCACAGGGGTGAAAGTGGAGATTAACCAAAACTGGGAGTGGATTGTGAAGTAAAATAGTGTCAGGACAGAAAACACTGCGTTTCTAAGCCAGTCGGCACCTATACCGTAATATACGTAAGAGTAGTGCAACCACATTTTAGGTGCGGCTGGCGGGGCGGCTAGCTTGACTGCGACTTCGTAAGTGAGGGCTCACTTGACCGCAGTAAAACGCCCCTGTGCTCGCAATTAACAACTGTTCGGGATTTCGTGAGTTAATAAGTTATAACATATCTAAGATCGAGAAAATATAAGTGACATTGCTTTAAAGTATTTATTATTTACCAAAATTATCCAGAAGATAGCTTTAATGTTACCGTAAACTAACTTCTGCTTAGGCTGAATTGCTAAATTAGCTTCTTACCAAACTCGGGGTGGTCTTCGTGGTCCCCATCGGTAGCAGTCATTGGCTTAATTGCAGCGTTTACCCAGCAAGGAGCCAGAAGGGTAAATAAAAGTATGCTCTCCATTTTAAGCAGAGCTCTCTATACATGTGCTGTCATTGTCGGGGGTAAATAATCCGTTTGTTTCGACAGCTAGCTAAGCTACCCGGAAGTCCACCGAATGGAAAACATCCGCTAAAAGCTAATGTGCCGTTGGAAAGGAGTGACGAATGACGTCAGACACATGAAGAGCAAAACTGATGTACGACATTAGATAAAACGCTTGATTTTGAGATATATATATATATATATATATATATATATATATATATATATAATCTGTAGTTTATAAATAAACCTATAGAAATAATGTAAATGCCATTTTGCATTTAAAATTTTAAATACACAGAAAATCTCAATTCCGTAAACATAAGCATGAGGAGTTGTTGATATATGACTGAGATCGTCTTATCATACTCCTCAGTGTGTATTTATACCACTTGAGTAAAGTACATCTTGCATCCGAGAAAAAGAAATCCTCTCCGTGACTGAAAACTAAAACCAATAGTGAAACTATAACCAAAATAAAACTGAACACACCAAATTACAAGCCCAGGTCATCCCGAGTTTACCTTCAAATCGGAGTATGAACAAATGTACATACTGCTGCTCCCTTTAGGGGTCGCCACAGAAAATTATCTGCCTCCATCTCACTCCCTAGCATCCTCTTCTGACATGCCAACCCTCTCTGCATGTCCTCCATTACATCCACTATTCTAAGTTTCTCACACATCGAAAACATCTCAGGTTTTCCTCTATGCCAATATGTTGTCATGTATTGCACTTAACTCACTGGGACAAAACATTTTCATTTCAAATATATTCATGTTTCATCTGTATTTTCCACCAGTGTTTGTTAAAGCATTTTACCTCAAGCTGTGCTAATGCGGAGATCAATATTGCTAGCTTAAGTTTTATTGCAGTAAAGGTAAACATTTAACCCATATCAAATGTGGAAAATGTCAATTGTAAATGCAAATTTAATGTCATAATTCACTGTTTGAGTCATCTCAAGTTCGCTTTTTATTGATTTAATCCTACAGGGAGTTTTAAGTACAGTTAAAAATTCCTCATTTTTCCTTTTGTTTATAAGCACCAAGTTTAAAAAAAAAAATGAAAAGAAAAAGGCAAAGGCTGAACTTGGTTTATAAAAGGTTTTATTTATGTTAACATAGCCGATACATACAGATTCAACAGACTGTTCAACAAGGCTTCTGGGGGGGGGGGGGGGGGGGGGGGGGGTGTCTACAACTGAATGAATAGCAAAATAGTGGTCCAAATCTCTAGTGACAATCACTGGATAGACTAACAATTCACCCCTTCTAGGATGTGTACAAACTTGCATTGGAAATGGATAAACTTGACATTTGGACAGGTTTGTGTTACAGCAGTTTCCCATGTCAGTCTGAAGATGCACAAGACCCAGAAAATCAAGGTGGCCTCTCTGCTGGAGGATGAGGAGGACTGACATTATAAATAAATCAGAATATAACAGACTGGAGTGTGAACATCTACTTCAACATCCACATCTCAGTCTGGTTTTCCTTCTGTGACGTGAAATTTACAACGAGAGAAAATAAACAAAGTCCAACTAGTTCCCAGTGGACATCAAGTATCAAGACAGTGATGCATTAAGGACATTACAGGAAACTTCAAGTCTCATCACGGTGTATGAGTGATGAAAAGACAAGTTCACTGAAATTCAACCAGCTGTCCATCGGGGTCTAGTGCATGGACATCAGAGTCCTCGACATCCACAAGCTGGCTGCCTCTGAGCGCTGTTCTCGAACTCGCCACACCAGAGAGGTTTAAAGGAAGTGATGCGCATTAACAACTTATTATATTTAGGAAGTGTATCAACACCACAAGGTTTAAGAGACAAGCATGTCCCTGAATTTGATCACACGAGGCCCACTATTACCCACCAAGTATAAATGCTTCATCAGACCCAGGACAAAGTGAGGGAAGTTAAACCTGTTGCTGGGCGCCGGTTTAGCTCAGTGTGTCGAGCAGGCGACCACATGCCATAAGTCTGAGAGCGGCCGGCCCGGGTTCGAATCTGACCCACAACCCTTTGACGCATGTCTTCCCCTCTCTCTGCCCCCGCTTTCCTGTCCTTTCTTCACTGGGTGTATCAAAATAAAAAGGCCAAAAAAAATTAAAACTGCTATGTAGCAACAGGTGTACTACAGTAAGATATACAAGGAAATTAGTATGTGTGTAATATTTGTTATTGGAACAAAATACAACCATTTTATGAAGTTTAGCTTTCCAGTTGTTTTGCCTCTAATTGAGGTAGGGAATCTGATATCATGTTGAGCTAGCATTCACGGTAAACTGCACACAAAGGGGATGGCTGAGACCACAAAGTACAGGAATGGAGGGTTCTCTCTTGTGTCCAAATCAAGTGTGTGTTTTTGTCGTTTCTCCCCCCCATATTAATACACAACCGTTTTCAGCAATGTTTTCATGGTAGAATGTTTAAGTGGAGCATTTTAAGGAATGAAGGATGTATAAAAAGTTGTTTTTTTTCCTTTTATTTTTTGGAGTCAACCCCAGCAGCATGGGCTTGGGCTTCTTAGTTCGATGGCTTGGAGCCCTCTTCTCCCTCTCCCTCTTCAGTGGCGCTGTCTGATGTCCATAACTATGGGAGGGGGAGAGAGAGACAGAGAGATTTAAGACAGGCAAATATCCAGATTCATTCACAGATTATGATCAATTTAATGAAAATTTACTGTATTGTACACACTAAAAAACAGGGACACTGTTAAAAGGCATTTTTAATTGATTGGGTGGGGTCCAACACTTATCCGAACACGCAACCTGACAGTCTCAGCCATTTTATCATGAAGGGATACGGTTTTGAAGAATGACATGTTTCTTTTAAGCCAATTAAAAGTAATCGTGACTTTATAACCTCAATGTCACACAACATGCATAAGCCAAAGACAAGTCATGCTCTGGCCTTTGCTACACTGACTTGTCAAGTGACAGAAAGCCTTCTTCCCCTCAGCACACAGACTGGCTGGATAACCACAGGAAGTCTGTGCATGTGCAGAAATAGCCGATTCATGCTTATGCTTGCATCTTTCATCAAAAAGGATCTGTACACTGCAGATTTGTCACTTGGGATAAAGAGTAATGGTATTTAAATGTTTGTGGCTAAGTATTGATTGTTTTTTCCAAACAAACCTTAAAAAAAAAAATTAAATTACAACACTCCTTGTCATACATTGGGGTGGGACACTGGAAAAAAAAAAAAATAAGGCAGCTGCCCAAGCAAAGTTGTTTTATGGGTATCTCGATGCAAATTAACAGTCTGGGTTATCACTGAAACTGCAAACTGAGTGACAGCACTGCTTTAAGACATCCTTACTAGTTGTGATCATACTTTGTCAATTTTCTTTAAAGGAAAAGTTTACATTTTTAATTTTTGCAGGTTGTGTGTCTTTTCCCCAGATGTTTGTAACTCTTTGTAAGAGTCAGTGCACACGATTCAATGGCAATATATGATATACATCTTTAAGCAACATATAAGATGTCTCCTGTACAGGGAAGGAGGAAGAAAAAAGAAAAGAAAAAAAAACAAAAAAAAACTTACTACTGTAGGAGTAATAGGAGCTTAACCAGCGCTAACATATTACCTTGCCTTGGTGCGACTTAGTGTTTAACACATCAGTTTTGTGGTTTAAAAAGCACCAAAGTCACAAAACCAACAACCACAGTGATACACACAAAAATAAATAAATAAATAAATTCCCCTTCTTCTTGCTTGAAACTTGAATTAGAAATTAAAAATACTGCCCAGCAATATTTTAGGTGTGGCTGAACATCAGGTTCATGACACTGAAACAACTATGATACATTCGGTTCAGTGAAAACTGTTTTATGTCAAAAGAGTAAAGCACTCACTGTCAGGTTATCTCTGAGGAGCTGCATGATAAGAGTGCTGTCTTTGTAGGACTCCTCTTGTAGATTGTCGAGCTCTGCAATAGCATCATCAAATGCCTGCAAGTGCAAAGATAAACAGCAACACTTAGAACTGATCCATTTCCAGCTGTTTACAACTTAAGACCTCAATTAGTTGTCAGATTACTATTAAAGTCTGTACCTGTTTGGCCAATTCACAGGCTTTTTCTGGGGAGTTCAGGATCTCATAGAAGAAGACCGAGAAGTTAAGTGCCAAGCCCAAACGAATGGGATGTGTGGGTTCCATTTCAGCCTTGCTGATGTTAAATGCTTCCTGGTATGCTTGCTGTGAGCTTTCAATGGTATCTAAAGGAAAAAATAAATCATTTGTGTAATTATCAAAGTTCCCAAACAAATCCATTGAACAGAAATTGTTCAACTTAAAGACTACACTCCACTTTCAGCAGGAGGCAAAACTGTAAACTTAAATAAATGAAAACTTACAAATGCTAGTGTGAGAATAAAATAACCGTAGTACTGATGTTAACTCACTTGTTTTGTTTTCTCCACTGGCAACTTCAGCAAGGTATCTATAGTAGTCACCCTTCATCTTTAGATAGAAGACTTTGCTCTCCGAATTTGAAGCATTTTTAATTAGATGGTCCTCCAGCAGTTTCTGTGAAAATAAATGTGAGATTAATTTCAAGTTTACAGACCAAATACTGAACAGCAAAACTTCAGTATGAATATTATTTATTGAGCCCCAAGTTAAAAGATATGAGGACTGCAACATTCAACACCACTGGATGAGCAATGGTTCATCCAAGTGTCATGCTGGCCTACATCCATTAGAAAGCTCTCCTGCCTTTGCTCTTTACGAGTACATTCTGTATCCATCAGGAGTCAAGTGCATATGCTCACACTGTCATTTTGAAGGATCATTTTACTTTGTGGTAATTTCAGCTGAAGTTGCTCCAAATTGCACAGAACCAGGCCAGGCCTCTGGTGTGTCCCCAGCTGTCTTCTGCCCCAGATACTTGCATTTTGTGCAAGGACTGTGCAGCATGGTTTCACATCTTATTGCTGACACTGCCGTTATTGCCATTTTGAAACAGCAATGGCATTGCTTATAGGCTAGAGATTTTCTCAGATATTTTATAAGGTACTATGTTTTTACAATACTCCCATTACAATGGTCCATTTGCACCCCCCCCCATTTTAGCACATGCAGTAAAGACTAACAATGAGCATCTTG